TCAATAAATAAAGCTACATGTGTTCAGGATTCCCATTTCCTTTAAAAGAATTGCAAAAGTGTGCACCAGGCTGCAGTCAGTCTTAGAAGACTACTTTTTCGTTATTCACACATTCTGCATTCAGCACTAGACTCCTGACATAATCATAATACAGGTTGTGAAGAAAATGTTGTAGGGCCAACTAAATACCACTGTGTAACCTCCTGCCTTCGGATTAGCATGATATTGTATCTACTTACACCAACCACCTAAAACCAACCAAACCAAGACCATGAACATCAATGAAAGAGGAAAGTGAAGTTTAAAGAAATTATGAAACAACTCTGGAATTCATACAGCTTTTGGTCACTATGTCACTCACTTTTATTAGCAAATAAATAGAGGTATATAGCAAGTCTGATTACACAGGCCTGCTAAAAACAGCTCTCACAACTTACTGACTTATATTCATTGATAGCATGTTGACATCACTTCTCTGCTGGTACGGCATTTTTATAGCTAATTAAAATGCACCTTGTCCCCAGTCTGCACATACTGAAATATGCCAAGATAGATGTACTTTCAGTGCTTCGTAATTACCAGAATTATAAATTAACTGTAGGATTTACTAGGACTCTAGCATAAACTAACCTGTATCCCAGAGGCAGACATAGACTGCAAAATTTGGCTTTGCTTACAGCTGTGGAACATTTGGAGGCAAGTAGTTGGTTAGTACATTATAGAGACAGGAAAAAGTCACATGAAATACACATGTGTTTTGAGATCCAAATTCCACTGTAATATTGGCATCTGCAAAATTGGACTTGTCATTTGGGACTACGTCTACTGTATGTTTTTCTTCTTCAAAGGAGGGAGAAATGTGTACCCTACCCTTTTACCCAGTTGTTTGCCCTGGCTCTAACAGCATGAAAGGACTAAAAATCCCTAAGACTTAACCAGTTAGATATTGTTTTGACCTGGAAAAGAAAACAGTTGTCATCAAGCTGTTGAAGCTGGCACCTATGCCACCCTGCTCTGCAAAATGTGGGGCAGTTACCGTATTGGCGATAGCATAGGCCATAGCAGCAGCCCTTTCTATTTGGCTGTTATCCACCATTAATCTCTCCTGGGGGTAAGGAGTCAATCTAAATAGAGAACTCTTTAGAAAAAGGGGGATGCAATCAGGTCCTGTACAAACTTGCTTAATCTGTCATCAGTAAGAAGCACATTTGAAAATCCAGCTTGGAAGCTTCACTACAAGTAGAGATCCAAGCTTGAAACCAGCACAATGGTTTTAAGTAAAGAAAAACTTCTGGAATACACTAATTGCATCAAATCTCTGGCACGTTTTGAAAAACGTGATGCACCAAGAACTCTGAACTGTAGCATTTTCTTTGTTTTCCAAACGAGAGCTCTTAATCTATTTAGGCTTCCATTGCAGACTTTCTTCCATCCACATAAATCCCTCCCATCTGCTCTAGCATCATTCTTTTACTTAATTGACTTATTTTCTCTAGATACTGATGTGACTGAAATAGTTTGATCTGATTTTCCTTTGCTTCTGACCTCACCATTACATTTATACCCACGTGAAGCTTGTAACTGTGATCAACAAAGGCCAGTTCCCTTTGCTATTAAAAATGATTAGGCCTGCTGTAGTCAGGATGACCAATATTCTAGCAGAAGAATCTGAAACACATTAGAGGTCCATCAGAGGAGAAACACTTTTTTTCCCCCATTTCTCTTCTTTATACCAATGTCTCATAACGTATTCAGAAGAATGAACAATCTGCTTACTTGTATTTCATAACTTTATACTTTTTTTTTCACTTGGGAATGAGATGGAAAGGAAGCCCAAGAGTAGAATTTTAAAAGTACCTCAGAGTATGTATATGCAGTAGAATATGATACAAAGACTTGCTAAACCAACATCTACCTGCACTGACCCAGGTAGGTGGCTACTGGTTTCATAGTAGACTCAGTTTGCAGGAAATCTGGCTGCCTACAAGGTTTTCTGTTGCATGGTATTGAAACGCTCTCAGAAGTGGAGATAGAAGTCTGAATTCTTAAATATTGCATTTAGGAGCCTGAGGGCACTTCTAAAACAGATTCAGAGTTTATTATTAGCATTTCATTTTTTACAGATGACATGGAACAAGAGGGAATAAGTTGCAAGAAAATTCTCTTGTTCTGCAGGCTCAGTGATTGAATTTACAAAGGCAGTTAGACACCTACAGATGCAGAGAGGGGCCCAGGTGGACTTCCAAAAGCACCTCACTGAGTGACATGCCTAGTCTCACTGAACTCTGAAACAAGTGACATTTCAGATCTGTGCAAGTGCTTTTACAACACCAGCAAAGAACTTCTTTGCACGGCTAGACATCTAATTATCTCTATAAGATGGTCCCCAATTAGTTGCAGATGGCCAGCAAAATGAAAAGGGATGAAATGTTTTGCATTTTAATAAATACATTCTGCTTCTGGGCTAGGAAAGGTTTTGTTTTTTTCTAAGTGGATTTTCCAGCTGTAGCTCTGACTCAAGTTACTCTGGCTCGGTATTCTGCTGTCTCAGTATGGCACTACACAGCAATAGTCAGTGAGTGGCAGTATCCATGGAGGGATTATTTACCCAGTGACATGATGTGTATCTTCCCATGGTGATGCCACCATGTAATTTCCGTAACTCCTTCACTATCACCAGCTTCTCCCAGGGAGATGGGATGGTGCTCTCTGACGTGTTGGCAGTTCATCTTAAAGAGGGAGCTTTTAACGAGGTGGTGCCAGGCAAATGGGGCTGCTGCCTATCATACAAACTATCACTGCAGATATTTTTTCCTGTGAATTTTGTGTATTAGGGAGCACTGAGAAAATTATACTTACTGAAAGAAATCAAAAGAGTCTAATTACAGTGATTTTTATAGAGAGAGTTAAAGGATACGTGTCAAAAGGGACTGATATATAATTATGGTAATATCAGTTGCAACTCCTGTGCTACCTAATTACTTTAAATGGGTGGCATTGTGCAATCTTTATGAAAGCAAGCTACTTTGATAACAAAATGAAATGATCTTAATGTGAAACAAAAATAAAATTGAAAGGAAAGTGAAATTAATATGTTGGTAGGAATAATAATCAGAGAGTCAGCACTCAATGTGCTGGAAAGACAGTACAGACAGAAACCCACCAACCGACTCCAACCCCAAATCTGCACTACACATTTGACTCAAACTGTGTCAGAAACTGAGATGCTACATGTGTTGCCTAGACTGATAGTCAAAATTAAGACATATCATCATGACAAGAAGAGAGTCATAAGAAATGGAGGAAGAAAGGAGTAAAAAGAGGCAAGATTAATAAAAATGGGAAAAGGGCATAAACCCAGCAATCTTGTTCATCACAGATGTAATTTAATTACACAGAACCCACACCTACTATAACATAATGCCATCTGTTAACAAATGACCTGGACACTGGAAAAATCTAATCTTTCCATTCATTAGAAATGAAAATGCTAGCATGTTCATGCACAAGCCCTGCTGGTAGATCCATGCTCCTAATTATGGTGTAGCATAGAAAAATCAACCGTTATTTGAACAGCAACATTAACACATTGTCAGTTATTAGGGTTTCCAGATTTTTGTGGCCACCACAGGGAGATACCAAAAATTTCATGGACTTTCATGAATACTGCATTATCATCAGTCTTGTAATGAAAAATAAGACTGAATAAAAGGTTTAATATTATTGTATTCACTACCTGCAGCTCATTTATCTCATGGATGGCAGTTTGGATCACTTCTTTAAGCTCTCATCATCTCATTTAACAGCAAAGACATAATTTCATTTATAAGCTATGTTTACACACCTTTTCTAAAATTTTAAAACAAGAAAAGTAGACTGGCAGTTGGCTAGAATCCCTCATTTACTGCAAGTTTGGTAAATACATTTCTATATGTACTGATTTCAAAGGGCTACTTTTTGTCTTATGCTCATTTAAGAAATTTGTTCCCATTAGATCATACAGAATGAAAGGATCTGATTTAACTGCTGTGTCTTTCAAATTCATTATACTAATTCCTCATTTAATCCAATGTTGTCTCTTCTTGCTACAAGAACAAAACCATTAAGTACTTTTCTACGCATATGAGTGTATTAATTGCTATGTCTTTTTCTTATAGAAAATTGAATGTTTGGAACTCTTCCTCTGAGCCATAACCTCACGACCACTTGCCACATACACTGGTCTGTTCTGCCCTTTGTAATAGCTGCATACTGTTTAGTCAATAGCATTTAACAGAGTTGTGACTTAGTCCTTTGAGCATGACCTTCCAAAGCAGTTCTACTGAAGTTCTTCCCTATCGGAAAAGGTTCCCTCATACCTACACACCCTAGAAGCTTCCTGGCCTTTGCGGCTGCAGGGACTCTGTTTTATGAAGTGTTGCTTGACCAAGTCTGAAGTTCACTGACTTGTCTTTAATATTCAAATAAATTCCACTGAATTAATATTTCAAATCTCTGCTGAAGATTGCCTTTTGCTCTTTTGTGTAGCATGTTGGTGGTGAATGTCAAGGAAACAAAGGGAAATTTGAGCATTTGAAGGTGATCATGGTTTTCACTGACAAATCTGTCTAATTACAATAAAAAATGTCGGAACTAAATAACTTAAGAATAAAATGCTCTTTCAACTTTGCAATCATTTTGTGTGTTATTTTGTTTATTTATGATGATTCAATGTACCGTCTGTTAAAAATCTTGTCTAGTTTGCAAGAGGCACGGTTGAAATGATTAGCAGGATTTACATGCAAGACTGTAATGGTTTCTTCCATCCAGGAATTATACTTGACGAGATTAAGGTGTGAGAAATAATCTAAGTCTTATCATGAAGTCTGTCGTCTTCCAAATGCAAAAAAACCGCCACCAAGCAACACCTGCCACCAAGAAATAAGCCAACAAAATATCCACTGACTGCACCGCTGCCCAGGCTGGCAGAGCAGTCCCAACCACATTTCTGGCTTTCTTACCTTCACTGCAAACTCTGTTTCTGTAGCTTTATGAACACATCTCTTGCACACTGAATAGGAGCCAATTCCTATGTCCTCCTTGATCTCATATCCATCTGTAAAATGAATGTTGTTCCCATGTAACTGCTATAGGGAAAGACAAAGGAAGGTAGTCAGGACATGGGTAAGTAAAAGCAAGAACTAGCCTCATCTTAATAAGGAAAGTGCTTGATCTCATCTCTTTCATAGAGCTCTCTTGTCCTTAGCAGTTTTTCTAAGTCCAGTTAAAAAACCTGAAGCCCTTTAATTAAACAAATGTGTCACCTCCCTTTTTACCTTTTTCCAGTCTGTAAGATGGAGTTGTCCATGTAGAAGTAATGGCAAAAAAGCAGTGAATTTCTAAACTATTTATGGAATGCAGACAATCACCTCTTATTAGAAATCCACAGGAAACTGTGGGCCCAAATCCCCTGACACACTGCCATATCTTGACAATATAAATTTATTTCTAATTACTGAGAGGCCAGATACATATATCATATAAACTTATATCTTAGAAACTACCAATAGCTTCAAAGTCTTCAAAACAGATACCTCACATATGGGGTGTGCCTCTAGAACACTGGAGGTCTTGTCCAGGATACGTTTAATTATGATTTTTGTGTGAGAGAAAAGTTACTATTTTAAGCCAACCTAATTTAAGAAAATATATTACTAGTGCAAATAGTAGGAAAATACTTTAAAATGTCTAATTTTATATATTGAAGAGTATAGAATGAACTATGGCATCATTAGTTCACATGCCCCGCGGAAAATGTATGGTCAAGTGGATTGGTTAGATGGTGAAACCCAGTCTGAGGCCTTCATCCTAAGACTCAAGAAATGATCAGCAGCTCTAAAGATTCTCTAGGATCCTCTGTCTAAAAGCATAACCTCATTAGCAAAGTCCTTGCAGAACCTTCTAAATTGTAAGACATGCATGTGTTAACATTCAGTACATTTTTACAAAGCAAACCACAGGAATATGTATATAAGATTTCTGGGATGTAACTACTTGGGTAACATTTCACTTACTGTTGCATAATAGAATCTTAAAGAATATGACATATTCCACTGTAAATTGTTAAAATAGCGATGAAAACTATGAAAACCTATGAAAACCACAGGCAGGGGCTCTCCCCTTAAGGCATGTATACTTCTGGTTGTGGGTAGGAGAGGAATTTTTTCCTTGTGGGAAAATTTGCTGCATCTTTCAGCAGCTCAGTTGTTTCTCCCGATTCACTATTCCTCTGATGTATTGAGCTATTTGTAGCAATTTATTTCTGGTTTAAATTACAATAACTGGAGAGCACGTTGTAGGGGAATGGCAGCAAAGAACCAAGTGTCTGGCAAGTGTCCTTCCCCCGTCAAGCTGCTCTGGGTTATGTGAGTACACCCATACTCTTGCGCAATAGCAACATGAACACGGCAGCCTCTTACATCCAGGAGCTTGGGCTCCGTGTCTGTGGGAGCCCACAGCAGTAGTTCATTGAGCCCCTTTGCCAACACAGTCTGTATCATATAATCCAAGACAAAGTAGAAGTACTTTTTGTTTGAGTTGTGATAAGGTGCTATTCCTATTTCCTTTGTAAAGGTTGTGGAGAACATGAACTTAAAGATAAAAGCCTTTGGGGAAAAAATTTCTCATTTTCCACCTCCTACGTGCTGCATGTAAACACCTCCTATGTGCACTAGGTAGCTGTGAAATACCAGTGAGAATGCTGAGGCAGTTTAAATACATTATGCATGTATGTATCTGCTCATCAAATGTGAAGTGTAACACTGGTACCTGCACAATTGGGTGAACAGTGATTTTGTGCACATCTTGCTGTGCAGGCTCCTGCACCAAGTTAGAGGCAACGAAGCTGAACCCTCTGAAAAGATGATGAGCATTGGCACTTGGAGGAACACCTGGGGAATCTGTAGAGGAAGGAAGAAAATGGTCTCATGAGCTGCACAGAAGATCAGAAAGGAATAGCACAGCACCTGCAACAGACAGTCACCTCTGCCAGTCAACAGCTGATCCTGCTAAACTGGCAGACACAAGTCAATATAATCCACCTCCACATCAAGGCTTTGGTGTGCCTTCTCCATCCATTTCCTCTGGGTATGAACAGTGCAGGTGTATTGTTTGCAAGAATCTCTCCTCTTGGATACAGACTGTTTTACACAGTACATGTTCACTCTTAGGCAAAGCACTGCCTTTGCCAGGACTCCACACAGAGAGAGAAGGCACAGGATGGCAAGGCAGGGAGAAAGACCGATGGCTCAAGGCAGGGCACTCCTTTGGCTTAGCAGAGGTTCTCCAGGGAGTGGAAGAAAGCTGCAAGATGCTGTATCTGTCCTTTGCAGCACAACATGACTATAGAAATTACAAAGGCTTTAGTGCTTTCTGGGTAATGTGGTTATGTTGTGTGGGTCAGGAAAATATAGAGAAGACAGGACCTGATGCAAGCGTGAAAGCACAGTGCTCCAGTAGTGGTGGTTTGGAGCCTCACAGGGATCTTCTGGAGCAGCTTTAGGAGCTGGGACCTACTCCAGGGAAGACACTGGTTGACTTGTCCTCAGGTGAACAAAATGACTAGGATTGTTTTAACTAATCTTCACGGAGATATTCTCCCCATTCCTTCCCCTGACACAGCAAATCCACGGGAGAAATAGCTGGAGTTCAAAAAGCCCTGAATATCCTACCTTTGGAGTGAAATAACTAGAGAGCAGTTCCTAGAACCTGCATCACCCTCAGTGAGAGGAACAGCACAACAAAGCAAGAAGAGAAGAGTTGTGCTTCACTTAAAATTCAGAAAAGCTTTGAAGAGATCTTTCTCCCCAGTGTATGTTTTGTCCCAGATATTTTCATAAGCAAGAAGGAATTGCATTGCAAACCATTCCTCGCTAGCTGGGTAGCTGGCTGGGTATTATAAAGCCTACCAATACTAAAATTTGCTCACTTTATATTTGTTCTTTTTTGGGAGTTGTTTTTTTTTTTCTCCCCTTCACATTTCTCCAGTGCAACATGTAATTTACCATAGCAAATTTACAGAGCTAAACTTCTTTTAGAAAGCTATCTCCTTGTACGAAGTGTGTAAATACCTAGTTTTACTAGAATAAAGAAAATACATCCCCACTGGACCTTATATCTGCACCATCAGCATCACCCATTAGCGTGTAGGGCAATGGCATGGAAGATTGAGTATTGCTTGAGGTCCTGTAAACATGTGAGAACGTATTTCCTTGTGGGGTCATTCCCTGTGTAAATCTACTGGTCAAATGAGGTCTGAAGCCATAATATGTTAAAAACACATTCTCCGCTTGGAAACAAACAAAACTGAGACTGCAGCTAATTCTATATCTCATTACAAAGCCACCTCAGCTTTGACAGGAGTCAGAAATAAGCACAGCAAGTCAGACCTCACTGCAAAGTATGTGGAGAAGCTTGTCTTTTGGTAAAATGACGTGGGCTATTTGTTCATCTCAGTGTATCGATGGGAACTCTCCTTGAAAATACATGGATGAATCATGCCAGACCTTTTGCATCACTGGGTACTTCTTACAATGGCATACATACAACAGTGATTTTGCAAGAGGGATTAATTAAGAGGAAAGAATGTTTTAAAAAAGGAATGACAACAATTCAAATGTGAACATTCCTGAACTTCAGGAAAGCTGTGATTCAGCTCTAAAATGTAAGTGCTAGGTCATCTCCATTTAAAAATAACTGTTCCTTCATAATTCACTGCCAATCTCTTTATCAAACACTGTAGAAGAACAAATGATTATTTGATGTTCAATATTAAATATTCATCATCACCAACTGATATGCCCATCATATGAATTAAATGAATTAAAACACCTGTGTTACGTGCAAAATTATATTTAAATCATGTTAGTTAACTGATAGCAATGAAACTGAAGTAGTTTTCCTAGCCTTGATAAATCCATAAATCCAGAATCACTTCATATGTCTGAATTAGACCCACTTGCAAACACCAATCTTTTGTAATGGTTATGTTTCTCCCAGTGAAAGTCATAATGCTTTGTCCCACTACAGCATTGTAACGGGTCTGCCTGAGATGCAGCCCTCATCGTGCTGTGCAGTGGTAGCTAGATAACACACCAGTGTTTTGACTACTGCTGAGTAGGGCTCACACAGCACCAAGGCTGTTTCCCCAACATTTCCCCAGTAGGCTGGGGGGGGGTGAAAACTTGGGAGGGGATATAGCCAGGACAGCTGACCCAAACGACCAAAGGGATACTCCATACCACATGAAGCCTGCTCAGCAATATAAGCTGGGGAAAACATGAAGAAGGAGGGGACATTTGTTTCACGTTTGTTGTCTGGAGCAACAGCTACGCATACCAGAGCCCTACTTCCTGGGAAGTGGCTGGACATCGCCTGCTGATGGGAAGTAGAGAATAAAATCTTTTATTTTGCTTTTGCTTCCACACGCAGCTATTTGCTTCATTAAACCGTCTTTATCTGACCCACGTGCCTGTTGTTACATTTTCTTTCCCCTGTCCAGCTGAGAGGGTGAGAGTGATAGAGTGGCTTTGGTGGGCACCTGGCATCTGGCCAAGGCCAAACCACCACAAGCATCTAACTTTACAGGATTTTCAAAGGCTTCATCAATCTTAAGTAATTGACTTCTGTATGCTTCACTGGGGTTGCAAACATTACTATCTTATTTGCAGAGCAGGAAATTTAGATACTTCAGGTGCAATTTTATATATTTTTTCTCAGCCGTAAAGCCAGCCTAAGAAAGACATACCTGCTGGTTACAGCATGCTGCCCCATCACTTATGACAGTACAAACATTTGTGGACTGAAATCTGAGTTGTATCGCCAGAGTGATCTTGGTTTGATCCTTGTTCAAATCACCATTTATAACCTGGACTGCTTCAGTCTCCTGCTCTCTGTGAGGAGCTGTGTCAGCACAAATGAGATGTGGGTCCACAGTGGTGGACTTAGGAAACAAGTGGCCAGAAAAAGCGACTCAAATTCAGATGAATCCCTGAGAAAAAGTGATGTAAAACTACACCTGTGGAGACGAACTCTTGATGTCAGAAACCACATCTTTGGCACACTCAGAGCTGAGGTTAGGAATCCACAGAAAGCTGTTTCAACCTCCAGGCTGAAGAAACTTTCTGTGATACAGGAAATTACTGGACTGGCAAGTTACTGGATCAAAAGATTTGACATAAACTTGTTTCCTGGCAGGAGAACTGATTCATAAAGACAGACTGCAAAATGACTGTATGTATCTGTGCCCCCTCCTTGGTAATGTCTTTCTGACAGCTTCATTAAAACATGACTGCATTATCATCATAGAACAGGAATTATTACAGTCCTTTCTGTCTGAATATGTTCTCAGTAACAAGGTAAGTTTGTATGGGGTCTATGCCATAAGAGAAAAAACCACAAAATAAAAAAGGTTCTTGTTTGACTCAACCAGCCACGTGAGCGAGTATTAAACACTCTTGTGATGCTCTCCCCTTCTGGTTGACCCAACCAGTCAACAGTCAGGGGCTGCAAAATATGCTGCCAGTCTGCAGAGGCTTTCCTATCACTCTGGACATGTAAAGGGATTCACTTTTCCAATTACACCTGTTTTGAAATGACAGGGTTTGATTCTCAGGCCACTTTCCATAATAGCACGAAGCAGAATCGAGGCAGGCCATCTCCCCACCCCAGCCACCACCCCAAGATAAACCTTCCGAGTCAGTGTCTTGCATGAGATATCAAATTGAATTAGGCAACAGTAGTAACATGTAGAGTGTAAAATATAATCCTGGGCATCAGCATATGCCTGAAGCACAAGGGTTTTCATGCCAGCACAACCAATGAAGTGTGAACTTCCAAAGCAATCCAAACTCTCAATGCTTCTCTGAGACTTTCCAGGATAGGTGAAATGTCTGGCATCCAAAGACAATTTGTATCCATGCAGTGGGATAGGAGTATCAGAACATGACTGACATACACTGGAGACAGGTGGATGTTCCAGTTGGACACAAATAACCAAACTTATATTTTTATAGCTTGTCAAAGTCGGCACATCCTTGCCAAAAAAAATCTAGGAACCAAGACTGATAAAAGTTTTTGAGTAGATACCACTACTTCATACCCTATAAAAGGAGGTTTGAGCCAGGCTTTGAATAGAGGTTTGGCCTAATTTTAAGAAAAAGGCTGAGGGTCATGATAAGCCTACACAACACAAAAACTATGGGAAATCCTAGCTCTGATTCATGTGTTGTAATGCAGGGGTCTTCGTAATGAAAGCTCAGGTCTTTTACTCTCCCTGCAACAGTTCTGGGACAATTTGAAGACTGACGCTTGAGACCTTATACTTGGTTATTACAACAATACTATGTGATATTTACAGTGCTTACCATCTTTAAAGTCTTTTATAAACAACAGCTAATGAAATTTTTACATTTTAGAATGTATAAATAAGTACTTCTTTACACAGGAATATCACAGGCAGAAAGATAATATAGCTTATCTATGTCTAGCACAAGGCAACACTATAACTGGGACTACCACTCTGAGGTTACTGATGATCTTGCTTTCAACCAGAAGAGTGCAAAGATGGTGTTTTGTGTAACAATCACCTTCATAAATATAGTGCACAAAATGCCATATTCCTGTTAGGAAACAGAAATTATAGGAACAACATTCTCACTGCAAGGATTTTCTAGATATTGTTGGCCAAATTTCCTGTTGGCATAACTCCAATGGTCTGAGAACTTGATGACTCTTCATTATTGTATTAACCATATATTACCATGTATTAACTTCCAACAGTCCATAGTCTATGGGATTTTGTAATTAAAGAAAACATCTATGGAATACACAATTATATACTAACTTGCAGAGATGCAAAGTTCTTTGAAGCTGAGGTAATTTAAAATAGTTAAATTCAGCTAATGTAAGTAATGATAAGAGTAATAAACCAGCAAATCAATAGTTATTTTTTCCTATTAAAAATGTGACATCTGTCCTTCTTGAAGACAAATTAATGTGAGGCTGGTGAAATGCTTATGAGCTTCTTTTCTTGGAAATGCAAAACAGTTTTTGCTTCCTGCTGGATATTGCAAAACCCAGTAACCCCACAGACTTTTAGACCTCATTGGAATAGGCAGGAGAAGGAAGAATTAATTCACTCACTGGAAAGATGCATTACCCATGTGCCACCTTACTAACCTGTGGGGGTCCGAGATGTGAACTCTGGATCAAAATGAAAGGTATCTTCTGGCCGTCCCACTGCAGGCTTGAAAGGCGGCTTGATTTCTTTCCTGTATAGCTTCTACAAGGAGAAAAACAGACCACAATCAACGACAATCTGTACACCTTCAGCATCTGCAGATAGGCTCCTCTGCTTTGTTTAGGGAGTCCTCTCTTACTTCTGTGCCATCCTTGCAGGACTGACAAAAAAAGGATGATGTATCTGTAGCTCTGGCTTGTGCTTGACTGGTCAGCTTAAAACCTCTGCCCTGGATGGTCCCTGCAGTTTTTACTGGAATCCAGAATATAAACACAGATGTTTCTGGTAAAGATTTAACCCGTAGACTGGCACAATATTCCAGCTGAGGCATCTGGAAATTCACTGGTCTTAAGGTCAGGACTGGAACGTGCAATGTTAACACCAACAAACTGTGGATGGGTGAGTGCAGCAGCACAGCAATGGCAAACAGCACAAAGAGCTGCTAGGAAGTGGTGGCTGGTTTAGCATTTACTATTTGTCAAGAACTAGCAATATGTTTGACACCCTGCCAGACTGAGCTGAGCAACAGGCCTGGCTGCCTGGTGCTCACAACCTAAACAAGAGACTTGTTCTTTTGGCATATCTGGTAAAAGGGAAGGGGCTCACAGCTGAGGATTAGATAAAATTCCCATCGAAAGTTGTTAGGAAGAAAGCACTGTGGAGGTGTGCGGAATCATGTTGAAGGCCAAATGTGGCTTGATCAGAGGAGCAAAACCACAGAAAAACATAAGGAAGAGAGGAAGGTATATAACAGGTAAGCACTGCTAGGTGTGTGAGTTTGTGCTGGCAAGTGAGGGGGCACGTAAGGGATCACTTAAGCAACAGTCACCATAAATGCATGCTAATACACCACCTTTATCACCAGAGACTTAGTGGCCTCTTTACTCATGCTTGGTGATCTTTAAGAAATTGCTTCACTGTGCTCCTTTGCAAGCATACACACACAGAGACTGGGAGATGAACAAACTGAAGTGCCGCATGTCTGGATCTGATCCAAAGCCTACAGAGGTTAATGGAAAGAGTCCTATTGATTTCAGTGATCTTTGCATCATCTCCGCTTGAAATGGCCAAAACCGAGCATCATGCTGACAGCGGCATGGGGAACAGAGCGTCGGTTTGACTCCCTGCCCCATGTCTCAGTCCCTAGACTGCATTCCCCTTCTAGAAATGCTTTTGTTCTCAGGTTTCAAAGGGCTGAAATAGTTGCCACAGACTGTGCCCAACAATTAACATGTCTGAGCATAAAGATAACATTTCATCCGAACTTTCAAGTCATGATAAGAGCTGGAGAGTTCAATTTTATGACTGTTTGTAATATGTATTTGCAGGTTAACTCTTAAAACAACTTCATAATGAGCTGATTTTTCAAAATACTTAATGGAAATTAATACATGCTTGTCCAGCTCTTTGCATGCAGGAAGATTCTTTTTAACTGTGGGTTTTGGGGTGAATTAACTTCTGTAATATAAAGCATGTGGTCAAACCTAAGATATATACACATCAACATAATTTGAAGTTGATTTTGCATAGATAAATAAAGGTTCTTGAGGCAGGACATTCTGTAGCATAGTATTAGCATTAGCATAAAGCATATGTTTGTGGTTGAATTATGATTCCTTGGGAAAGTGGAATGGTGAGGCTGGAAATGACTCTGCAGTAATTAATGGCCATTTCACCATAAAAAGTTCCTGCTTGCGTAAAACTGCTCCGTATCTTCTGAGAGAAAAAGAGATGAATAATTGCTGTAAGCCACAATGGAAAGCCAGTCTTCCAAATAATTAAAAGCCAATTGCAATCTTAAGCAGGAAGTGTCACTCATCAACTGAAAAGCATCAACCCAATAATCAACATACATCTTTTTCTGTCTGCACAGAACTTTAAAAGAGAACTCAGCACCTACTGAAGGTTCTTCTGTTGCTAGGACTTAACCTTGAGAAAGCTATTTGCTTCCAGCTTTCCTTTATTTGCCTTAATTCACAACTGCAGCCCTTCTACTGCAGAAAGCAATATGGTCACACGCACATGCTTCCTCCTTGAATTAAATGCACCCCTCATCCTGTGAGGTCCAAAAATTGGAAGAAGTTTTAGGGTTGTACATCACTTGGGAACTGCACTCTCTTTTGATTATCATAACCATATTCTCTCTGGCCTCTTAATTCCTCCCCCCATCTGTAGTTTCTTAAGTGCTGTTGGAACTACATTTGTATTTTGAATCCCTAACCCACATCCTCCACTACTATGGAGGAATTTAAGATTCATCATGAGTCACATGCCACCTAAATATCTGTAATCACAAATTTGCTTGCTGAGAGGGGATGGAAACAAAGAAGTTGCTTGTGTGAATGAAAGGCACCTCCTCTGAGCACAAGCTGGATGACTCTCTTTTCCATTTCCTTTTCCACTCGTGATAAAAATTATTTCTGGTGTTTCTGATTGGACAACTAGGAACAGCAAAAGGTAAACTGCCTAAACCATTTGTTTTTCCAAGCTCTTGAATTGGATAACTAAATGAAATCTTTGAGAACAAGAACAAGCAAAGCAGTGTCATCTGTGGGCTTTCCCATCCCACACTGGCTCCAGTTCTCTGAGTGAGCCACTACAACAAAAGCCAATTCACTGAAGCACACCAAACCACAGGGCAGCCCAACAGAGTTAAGCAGGAAGGCTTGCTGCAGGCAGAATGCTTCTTCCTTTAAAAACCCGCATCCTGTAGACTGCAAAACACAACGTGACACAAGCTGATCTAAGAAAACAGTAAGAATCACAGCCATTGTTTTCTATACACACAGAAAATAAATCTCTTGGAGGATTTAAGATCCTTCTGGATTTTCTAAGAATATTTCTAATTTTAGGTGAAATATATTAACCTATTATCTCTTATCGTGGTCCCAAAATTATTTGGGGCTGATGGATCACCTTGATCTCTTCCAACAGAAACCAATCAGAGTGGCAAATGACATAGTAAGTCAAGTTTCAAATCTTGTCTTTGACCATTTCTATCAAGCTGTCACGTAACTTCTGGTAAAGTAAACAGTTATCTACATCCCAAGTCATGGTAATCCTGGTTCTGTATGCAGAAGTCACTGGGAGTTCCACCACTTATTTTAGTGGTCCCAGTTGTCCCAGTTTAAATGTCAGTTTTTAAATCCAAAGGATTATTTTGGGGCATCCCATTAAGCATTCAAAAGAGACTTTGGACATGTTAGTGCCAACTGGAACATCTAGATTTCAGGTTGGGTGCTTAAGATAATTATATGTGTGTTATTTTGCACGGGTTTAAGAAGCTGAAGATTTTTTTTTCTTCCACGTTGCTTCCACATCCGTAAAGGAGAAATGTATTCCTTAGCCCTTAATGTTTTATTGAGAATGTAATTTCCCTCTCTTTCCCAGTAAAGAATAACTCCCCACATCCCACATCCATTTATTTAAACTGGCCACAGCATTGACTTATCACAGCAAAATATGACTGACAGGTATCAGGAATCACTGTGCATCATGCACAGCTGTTGGATCCAGAGGCTGTGCAGAAGGAGTACATAATCCACAGAATGAAGGTGATGAACTCCAAGGTGTGAAAGTACTGATTTAGATATTCACACTTGGATACATATCCACACTTCTCTCTACTTATCAACTCCTCACATCCTTCTGAGAGTTTGATAATCAGTACCTTGAGATTAATAAGTACCTATGAATTAACTAGCACACAGTTCTATAGCAGTTTGAGAAACTATGAGCTTCTATTAACTTCATTTCTGATTTGGGACAATCCCCTTTTCTTTGAAGTAACTTAATTTTCCCCTGGGTCCCAATGACCTTTTCCTAATCTTTGTTGCTAGATTCCTGACATGAGCTTCATCTGAACACCTCCTCAGCTGGGACTCAAGCAATATACCAGGGAGACTAGTAAGAAAAAGCTGCAACACGTGTCTGTCTCTTGTTATTTATAAGCAGTTTATTTTTCATCATCTTTAAAAAAATGCACTCCTAAAAAAACCCAGAGATGTAAATGCCCTGTACGTGTGCCTGGCAAATATCAAGAAAAAGAAAAGGGTTTAACTTAATTAAAAACTATTTAGTCATTTCCTCAACTGAGTTTCTTTGATGAAGAATTGAATTATTCCTTAGACACCTTCTAGAAATAGAAAGATGCTACCCTCCAGAGTGACGCACTTGTAATGTGAGAATAAACTCCCTTGATACATATACCTGTCAACGAAAATCCAATAAGCAGACAAAAGGATGAACTACATTCTAAAATGCTTGTCCTCTCCTAGATTAATGACTCAACGTTACTGCCTGCAAATGATAGAAAAACTAGCACAATTCAGATCTTGGGATCAATTTTTCCTGTTGCTAAAATCTGCAATTAAATTATTCACGTTTTCAGTTTAGTTTGATCTCTGATTAATATTGAAGGAAATAGAACTTGAGTCCACTTTCTTCCGATTCCTTCCCTCAGCTGTATTCAACAGTTCATTTTCTAGCATGTCATTTGCTCTAGCTTCAGTTTAGCCTGTCATCTAAACAAAAACTACTCCAACTGCAGTCTGCAAAAAGGGATTTCATTTTTCATTTTCAATGAAAAGCCAGAAAATCTTTATGAATGACCTAGAAAGAAGAAACAGTAATAAAAAAATCAGGAACCAGATTGTGCTTTCTCAGAGCCAGTAACTGAAATGATCTGAGGTCAACTCGATTTGGGTCTGCTGGTCTTAGGGAGAAAAGTGGGTGCAAAGGTAGTAAGTGGGTAAAACTCAGAAGGAGCTGGACATCTAATATCCTCTCTGTGAATCCCGCCTTGATCATGAAAGACTGTCCATTCACTTAATGAAGGATCTATTGAATTTGCGTTACAATGTCTACTAAATGCCTTAGAGCAAAAAGACTGGTATTTGCAGAAACCTTCATCTATTTTTCACCCTGGGAAGTAGGAATTTAGGTTTTGTTACTTGTTGAAAATAGCTGTAAAAATAAGACTCTTACAGAGATTAGCTCATACCACAATTTAAGTCTGGGCACAAAAACTCTGTGTCAGATTGTCCACAGTTCACTTAGTGCTACTTATACACTAGAAGTTAAACCTGGGGTGGCTAGAGATTTGTGCGAAGGACAGCACCCTGGAACATGGGAATGGCATCTGGGAAAGGATGGGAGGAGGACAGCCATTCTTTGGCCACACTCATGTTTTCCGGGATTGCACCTATTGCCTCTGTGTGGTGGTCATACACTATCAGCACTGCTGTGCTTGGCAGGAGCATCTGCAGCATCATAACGGGGCTTTTTTACACTGCATATGTTGTGTCCTCTGTGTTTGCTGCCTTCATCTGAACCAGACACTATGTCTGTTTAAAGACAGTGAAAGATGGGAAACAAGTGGGAAACAACTGCTCCGACAGGTAAACACTTCAGCGATAGAGACAGTAACCAAGCCCCAATCCAAAACCCGAGGGAACAGCTCTGGCAGTACTCTGAAATGAAGGTCTGATTTATACATTTCTGTCTGCGATTCTAATCTGTCTGTGATTCTAATGACTTCATCACTGTGATATCTAGACTTCACACACAACTTAGAAGGTAGCAGCTAACTTATTTCTCTTTTTAAAATTAGATTAAGCAACTTGGTGGTTTGTTCCTGGTTATCTTGTCACTCTTGTAGGAAAAATCTTACTTAACAAAAGACCTGTTTCACACTGGGTTTCTAGAACACACTAACCCATTCTTATCCTTCATGATAAGGGGGCTCTTGATGGAGTATCATTTTACTACAGTCACTGTAAGTTTCTACGCTGTCAGTTGGAGCAGTCCTGTCTATCACAGCTGACAAGGTAGTACAGAAGCTCTCCAAAAGAGCTTGCCTCTTGCTCTCTGAGGTCTTTATATTACTGAGGTATAAAATAAATCAACATTCACATCCTGCCTCAACAATGTAGTTTGCTGACCACCTGCAGACTGATGTAAGAGATTCTATATACATGGTGAGAGAACAAAATGAGGGCATCAGGGACTCTTTTCCTGCAACTGTACAGAGATCAGCACTAAACATCTGTGCCTGACCCATTTCTGTTCTCTGACTGTGCTCTGTTTCTGTCCATGAAGAACATGTTAACAGTTGGTTGGATGACCATTATAAGGCAAAGTTCTGGCTTCAGCTCAGGGCCAGGCTGGCTCACACCACTGAAATACATACAATACTGCTGCTGTAACTAGATAAGCCTCCAAAGATCTCCATGAGTGATAGTAAAATTAGGATTAAATGAGCAAATGTATTACAAAGATGATGGTGATCTGTGTAATAATGATCCATATGTCTCCAAGAGAGCGCAGTAAGCACTAATTATATTGGATTAAAATGGATCTTTACAGCTACGTTTTACAGCAATGTTAGACGGTCAGATAAGACATCAAAGGGCAATTAAATACACGTTCCTCTCTAGTGCCAGGTCATGCTCAAGCATACCTAGCCTTTTCATGGTAGGTATTTCCCCAACTCGACCATAAGAACTTTTTCAATTGATGGAGGACTGTACAATTTCCTTAGGAGAGGTATGAAATTGTTCCCTAAAGAACTGACATTGAAACAATCGCCAATCACCATGACAGAAAGTGGACTTGAGCGGTCTCACAGTCCAGAACTGACTTTGCTGAAAATCCTTCCAAGATGCAGAGCCTTATTTCTCTGTGGTGAGTTACTGAGCTACTCCACTAGCAAACACAGAAGAAGGAGAAACCCTCTCACTGCTCCAATGCTCCTTATTATGTTAAGATGTATGCACCTGACCTGTATTTTGATTGCAAAGCTGAAGACTGTGGAGATATCAGAGGAATACAGAAAATAATAATAATAATAAAACCCCAACTCTTCAGGATTCTCTATTTTTCCTTTCACTTAATTTTTTCATAAATGTAAAGTCTTTATACAGAATCTCATGATCAGTAAGAAGCAGAAGAGGAAAGAGAATCTAGATTTCAGAACATATGTAATAGGACTAAAAGTCAGCTGGACTATACAGGAAAATCTCAAACTCCACTTTCATTGATCACTTCTTAACATGCTTATGAGTCAGTCTAGCTCTTCAACATGCAATTCAAATTAGATTAATGAGTTTTTTCCAAAATAAATTATTTCTGTGGGCCTTTCAGAGGTCGTCTGGGCACCACAAAATGTGCTTTCACAGAGGAATTTACTGTAAAGCCCTGGGCAGCAGTTTGAGAACGGCTCTGTCACATTCATGCTGTTTTACAAGAATTTATAGTGAGAACTGCACCAATGTGACCTGTTACACTAGCATTCATAAGTGAATTCAGATAAAATATTAAAAAGACATAACAATACCATAACACAGATCAGATAAAATTAAACTAGAAAATTCTAGAGGATGTGGCAAACATGAGCTCTGATGCACTGGCAGATGTCCAGATCAAGAACAAGAAGTGTTTGCTTTCAGGTTTGTCTAAAAATAAGTCAATTTGAACAAATACAACACTGAAAATGTGAGAAGGTTTAATCTGTTGCAAGTCTAAATCGAATAGTTAGGTAATCTCTACCGGCAGCTTCATGTGCTGTGCTTGATAGCCTTGAAAGAAATTCTTGTTTATCATTCTCTTAATCATGTCTGACATCTTATTTGAACCATATTACATTCGATCAAACGTATGCTGTTCCAATTTTGACTGGTGATGTTGAATTAATGACTCACCTCAATAAAACATCAATCACTTGTAAGAGGAGTTGCTGTTTCCTGTTCTGGCTAGTTGACTTGTATACTCAGTGATGTAAAATCACTTTTCTGAAAATCTATGTTGTGCTTTTCAGTAGCCCCCATCACAATATAGTGGAAGGGCCAGATCCTGTCCTGTGGTCAGGTCAAAAGTGACATGAAGGGGTTAACAAAGCTATCCTGGTAGAAGATTTATGATTCCCTCAGCGTAAAGTAGCACAACCTGCTGTACAGCCTGCTGTACCAGCACTGCGTTTGGGAAAAGGGTGCACCTGAAGGTCTGGGGGCTTCTTGGAGCTACTGGCAACAGATACGTGTAAGAACAGACCTGGGGCTGCTCTGAATAATTCCAAGAAAGAAAAGGATTCCTGGAGGTGCTTCAGCTTGCCTAATCCAGTGAGAAGGGACAAGTATTTCAATATGGAACATAAAATCAGAAAGGTGGAAGGACCTGGAGCATCAGACTGCTTCCCTCTAGAGTATCTCTTTCAAGACCAGTCCTTTGGCTCTGTTTTCATTTGCAATTGAAATATTACAGGAATTCTTTAATTTAAAGCTGCTTATTTTCTCTCCAGTCCAGCTCCCACAATCAATGCATCATGTTTATTAGAGCTGAATGTGGAAATTATTCTGCAGAACACTGCAAATAGCCTCAGGTAGTACCATGATAAGCCAAATGATCAGACAAAACAGAGACAAGCGGTTAGAAAAAACTGGCAATCGTGAAAGCAGCTTTCTATTTCTTTCATTTGTGTGTATGTGAACAAATGTATATATAGAATCATAGAATTGTAGAATCATTTAGGTTGGAAAAGACCTTTAACATCATCAAGTCCAATTGTAAACCTAACACTGCAAAATATGTATGTAAGAGACATAGGCAGCCAGTCAAAAGGCTCTAGCTCCTGGGTTCTCTATGTTAGAGTTCACTTCATCTTTTTTCTAAGCATGGCAGTTTGTCTTAAAAAATTTAGCTAAGAAAAATAATAATAATACTAATAATAATTTAAAAAATGCTGATCCACTTACGTTCCAGTCAATAGTTACAAAGAAAGGGTGACGTTTAATTTCTTCCACTCCATCGAATCCAGCACCTGACAAGAGAATGAAAGAACCAAAATTAAGTCATGCTTAGAATGCTGCATGACATCTCTTCTCCAGCCTTCCTCTCCATCCCCTCTTTTCTTCTCACAAAGTCAGAGTTACTAGCTAAACATTTCTTCTAGTCAAGAAACCCTGAACAGTGCAACTGCCATAACAGTATAAACTACCATAAATACAGACAAGGGCACTTCATTAATGAAAATCTGATGGCTGAGGGTTTTTTACTTTTCTCTAATTGAGGCTGGTGCCAAGGCTGAATAGCTGCTCTCTTCAGGCTTCAGACGAGATGAAGAGGAGTGTGGCCAGCAGGTCGAGGGAGGTTATTCTCCCCCTCTACTTTGCCCTGGTGAGGCCATATCTGGAGTACTGTGGCCAGTTCTGGGCCCTCCAGTTCAAGAGAGACAGGGAACTACTGGAGAGAGTCCAGTGGAGGGCTGTGAAGATGATGAGGGGACTGGAGCATCTACCCTACAAGGAAAGGCTGAGAGACCTGGGCATGTTTAGCCTGGAGAAGAGAAGGCTGAGAGGGAACCTCATCAACACTTATAAATATCTAAAGGGTGTCAATAGGATGGGGCCAGGCTCTTTTCAGTGGTGCTCAGTGACAGGTCAAGGGGCAACGGGCACAAACTGGAGGACAGGAAGTTCTGCCTCAACATGAGGAAAAACTACTTTACTCTGAGGGTGACAGAGCACTGGAACAGGCTGCCCAGGGAGGTTGTGGAGTCTCCTTCCCTGGAGATATTCAAAACCCACCTGGATGCAGTCCTGTGTGACCCGCTGTAGGTGAACCTGCTTTAGCAGGGGGTTGGACTAAGTGATCTCCAGAGGTTCCTTCCAACCCCTGCCATTCTGTGGTTCTGTGAGATGTAGGATTTCAGATGCAGAAAAGCACGAGCACCAGTGAGGCCAGGAAAGTCCCAATATAACCTGATACTAGGGCAAGGTTACTGCTGCTCCCTGCCACCAGCGGCAGCTCTTCTATCCACACCAACTTTCAAATCTTGTCTAATTACCTATTCTCCACAGGCAGAGAAAGCTGCATTACTAATCATTTCAGACTCAAAATACTGGAAGTCTCCAAATGACTTGAGACAAGGCAGGGATTTAGGTTCCCCCTTTTCAAATGCCGTCTTCAAATTTGCGTGAGTACCAAAATCTTCACTCTCAGTAGTATGATTCCTTCACTGTTAAATTTCTGTTACTGTAGGAAATTTAGGGAACTCTTCTAAGATCTGGTAATGAATCTAATTCCTTCATTACTTTTGCCTTGTGTCTTCACTGCAGATTGCCTTTTTTACTCCTTTAGCTCAATTTATTTTCTTCAGTGCCATAGCAAAAACCAACAGGTGCTCAGTAATAATTAAACAACTGTCAGAGATGATTTAGCATGCCATTTTGGGAGTTGATTTGACTTTTTTAATAGTACCTTTCATTTTCCAGTTGGAGAAATAACATCTGGAAACAAAGGCTTTGCACTGCAATTTTGAAATCAGTTCCCAAAAGGTACCCAGCACTTCTTTACAAGGATGCTGAGCATTCTTGATTCCCAAAAGGACTTGGGATTCATAAGCACCTTGCAAAAGGCACTCAGCACCTCAGAGGACTCGGCTTTTTATACGCAGCATTTTTACTTTCTGAAGATCAATATTACAAACAACTTTAGAAAGGTCTTGTCAACTCAAGCTTTTGTAAAATGTGACACCTTCTCTGCTTGCGTATAAGACGTTACCAATGTTTGCCAAAATGCACTGATTAGGAGCAGCTTCCTACTGCCTGCTTAACGTTCACTGACGAATGGATATGAAAAGAAAACTCTTTGTGAACATAACATGCAGGATTGTCTGTCAGGCCTGCTGGATAATAATGCAAGAGGAATGTTCTTCTGATTACTTCCCCATACTGGTAATCTTACAGTATAGACAAATGTAAGTGATGCACATGAGGATAAACCATCCTAGCTAGCCATACAAAATTATGTGCTTGAAGGTGACCATCCGCCTTCAGAAGTGACGTCTTTGGGTTGTGATGGACAGTTCTAGGGAAACACAACATGAAATCGAATCGTAGAAAGAGAAAAGAGGACAAAAGGGAAAACATCATTACATTGTTACTGTATAAGTTTGTTGTACACCTACAACTTGAGTATGGAATGTATTTGACAACCTTACCTATAAAAGGGTATATTTATTAAAGGTAGGAAAAATCAAAGAAGGGTAACAAGGAATGGTATTGAATGACTGAGTAGGCCAGGACTTTTTGCTTTTTGACCTGGAAACAGGTGACTGAGGAGGTTTATGATAGGTCATTAAATGATGCTAGCAGGAATCAGGTTCAGAACAACCTGGAGATGTTTCTTCAGGCAACAGATAGTTTTGTGATGTGGAATTCCTTGGAAAGGATCATGTGGATGCAAAATATTTATGTGGGTTCAAGGTGAGGCCAGAAAAGTAACCTGAAAAGAAATCTGTTGAAGATTACTTCACCAAGAAACCCCAAGAGGTTCAGGAAACCCCTTGCTTGATCTTAAAGCAGGTGTAGACTGGGAAAGAAATTGGGCAAATTGTCACATATGCTTACCCTATTCTTACTCTTCCCTAGACAGAGGGTTTATGGCTCATGGGTATTGAACAAGAAAATACTAAGACTTAGATGGTAATAAGACTTGTTCTATGTCTTCCCTAGCATGTTTTTCAATGCACTTGAGTCTAAAGTCTGCACTAGATTCTCTTGGCAGATTCATTCTAATTTTAGCAACGCTAAGAGAAACATGAAACCAACACGTTTACTTAGAAGAGAATTACATTAAGCAACTCTTCGGAGAACAAATATCTGTGGAAAATATTTTCTGTTCAGTGGCGGTGACTGGAAACTTTGTAACGTGCAGAGGATAGTCTTTGCTACGTAAGGATGAAACCCAAGTGTCAAACTGATTTCACAGGACTGGGATAAATGCTGCAGACACTGTAAGCTACTGGTAGCATTCCCTAGACTGAGGATAACTGCTAACACATCCAATCTTCTCTGCTTTGTCCCTTCCCCACTGTTTCACTTTTCCCTTTTTTGTAGGCTTATGGATTCATCATTGTGTGATGCGAATGACCTGCCTTTTTCAGATGATCTGTTTGAAAGCCACACTTTTTCCTACCGTTGTTCTTTTTTCCAGAAAACCACAGAAATTAAGACCAAGGAAAAAGCCCACCCATAGCTACTCTTCTTAGTGGGAGACTGCAATGTGCAGTAAGGAATGCATCATGCAGTTGACACAGGCATTCGTTTGAAAAATTGGCATTTCCCACTTGGGGCCAATTCAGAGCTCTGGCACAGAAGGAATACATTAGGAGTGCCTCCATCTTGACTTGACTCCATCTCTGGTTAGCTTAATGTATTAAAGAGATTTAGGATGGCAATAGCCTAATTTTGCAAAGAGTGAAGGACTTCCAATTCCCAGCAACTGATTTTACACCACGAAGAAGGTTCAGCATTTCCTGTGTTTTTTATTTCCTGATCTTCCCTGACATGAGATCTGCTAGCATAGCCCACAGCTCCCTCTTGGGCTGTGTACTGGGGCTGCAGGCAAGCGTGTGGCCTGGTGCTCTCCTCAACTGGAGGAGGGAGGCGGCCCGAGGGTGTGTTCAGGGACAGCTCTGGGAGCCCGGAGGTGCAACCCTGACCCCGCTGCAGAAGTCCATGGGAGACACTAGGCACCACTGCTTATGTTGCAGTCTCTCCGGATTTGATCAGCATGTTTCAGCCATTCATCTACCACCTGAAAGTCTAAGGTGGTACTGGAAAGAGATGTGCTTTCACGGAGAAAAGAGAAGCATTGGAGAGGTCGTAACTGGAAAGCCCTGTTTCATGGGGATGGATGTTTGTTGGCATGGAGATGGGTATTTAGCAAACCGCTGAAGTGCAGCACACAATGGCACAGAACAAGACCACAAAACTGCAATTTAGTAGTCTGTAAAGAATAATCAGGACAATCAAACCTACTGCCTGCAAAAATTCCTATGTGCCATCCAGTCCCATGAGGGTCCAAGAAGACATATAATGCTTTTAGATCAAATTGCCAGTTTAAACATAATAGAGAGTGCAAGGATTTATATAAAAGCAGCCTCATGTTAATAAGCAAGAACTTGATTATCTAATGTTGTTTTATGCCTGTAATAAAAGTGTCTGCAAACAGTAACAGTAGAATGTTTTATTTGTAATTGGTTTTGATTGTTGAATCATTATGGATAATGTGAGCCTTGAAATTTATTAAGAGGAAAAAGGGAGATTATGAAATTTGAAAGCTGATTATTTGGATATTCAAAATGAGCAGAAAGAGTTTCCAGATTTTTAGTTTCAGGTAATAAAATTTTAGTGTCTCCACAGCTTCGGAATCTTTTTAGTGGGCTAGATTTTTTTGAAATGCATTCCTAAAATTTACAAGGAAGATGTACAGTCACTCTGACAAAGGTGAAACCTGTTTTTTAAAACTAATTTTATAAAATTGAAAAAGTTTTCTATGTGCCAAAGCAGAATGTATCTTCTCTGAGAACATGAGATTAAGGAAATAATAACTATTTCTTTGGCTTTTACTGTGAATCTACTTGCGTGTGCTTTTACTCTATACTTTATTTGCCAAGCTTCTCAGTTATAAGAGCTCTGAAACCTTTATACTGCTCAGCAGTGCAGGGAGTTCCTGAAATGCTCTTTACATTCATTTACCTACCTAAGTAGATCCGGGCCTTAGGACAAGTAAGAATTAGTCCCTTGTCTAAGTTCCTGGCAATGTAATGAACTAACACCTTCATGGTACAATTTCCTTTCTGAGATGCTTACTCTTTGTTTGCCTGAGTATTCCAGTTAGTTTCCTTTAAGAATTTAAAATTATGCTCATCCATAATCTGAAATTTGTGGTACTTAATCAGAGCAAAGCAGTGCTACGCAGACTATTTGACAGCAGAGTGTATAGGCTCAGAAAAGAACAGACGGCACCTATAACAAGGGACGCCAAAGGAAGGAAAACTTCCTGTTCCTTAAAAATCTGTTCTAAAGCATTAATATGAGCAACAGTAAAACAGAATCAGTTAAACTGGATTACTAAATTCCTTCTATGCCTTCTCTGACTATCTCCCTTCAACTCATTTTTTTCTCCGTTAATAATCCAAAGCTTGAAAACAAAGTTTCAAAGCAAAATTTTAAAACACATCATCAATCTTTACTTCTATTTGCTAAGCTATCAAAATCAAATGGCAAAAAGCAGGATGGTAGTCAGAATAAAATGATTTTCAAAGCTCAGCATCTTTCATCTTGCCAATGTTACAAATACTTTGGAACTAAATATCAACACTTTCCAGATTTGCAAACTTTTGAAACAATGGCTGAAAACAAGTGTTTGATCTGTAATATGGTTCATTTATTTTAGCACGCTTCATTAATTTTCCAAAGATTTTTCAAAACAGGATGTCTAAGCCTACTTTTCTTTTAACTTCAGACTATTATTCCTTTCCTAGAAACAGCTAAAATCCACAAAGTTGAAGCAGTCCTTTTATCTTCTGACTTCTGTTCGGTGTTTAGGCCAACCATTTAAGTGTTCCTTCTTTCATTAACAAGAAGTCTGTTTTCATTGTCCTTCGTGCTGATTCTCAATCAATTGAAACAGAGCAAGCCTTCAGAAGCTTTTTACCACTATCCCTGAAATGTTAAGATCTATTTTTCTGTTACTCTTTTAGATTTTGTTTCCTTGGATGTTTGTGTTATAAATAATCTCTTCCTTTCTCCCAGCCTTCCCAATATTTCAGTAAACCTCAGGTTTAAAACCTTGACCCTTAGTGATTCCCCATTATTAAAAGGGAGGCGATATGGGGACTAGAATTGTCATGGCTAAAACTAAGCAAGTTTGCTTATTTTAGTGAGTAGCTTTTTATTGAAGGATCGGTATCCAGAAACTGCCACTGACTTCACTGGAGCCCCATTTGTGATGGATAACAGTTTGTGGGAAGCCACAAAACAAGCAGAGCAGAACAAAACCAAGAGACGGAGACAGGGAGGAAACAGTAGAAAAGAACAGAGGGAGGGAGTGGGAAAAAAGTTTGTATTTGCTGCAGCATCTTATTTTTCTGAACATAGATTAAAGCTAGAAAGCCCAATACTCTACTTTTCTCTAATGTCAAGCAAACTGCTTGACAGCAATTGAAACCTGCTGAGAAAAGGTGTTTTACCACTATCATCTCTACAGCGTACCAGACTACAAGAGCTACCGTTTAGGTCAAGAGGTAAAACCTATAGAAGGGCATTTCCTCTGTGGGCCATGTGGGGGTCCCCCCAGGAGAAGAGGGGCCACAGCAGCATGCTGAGGAACTTGTTCCCCATTCCCACCCGGCCCTGTGGGAGGTCATGTTGTCCTCTGGTCCCTGTGTGGAGCAAGGGCACTTGGCTCCTGCTCTCCTCAATGGTCACAGCAAGAGGCAGCCTGCTTCATACTGCCCTCGTCTGCAGAAGCCACGCTCTCTTGTAAAACAGCTGAGCCACTGTGCCTCTGCATGAGGCAGAGTCTCTGGCTGAGTTGCTGCAGCCAGGCAGAGAACATCCATTCACCTAAAACGTGACAGTCTGATGGTGCTCAGTATAAAGCAGAGGGCTGGAGTAGTTCACACATTGCCCCACCTGAAGCAAGGGACAGAGCTACCAGAGTATGAAAAGGCCAAGCAGAAGCTCAAAGGCACAGAGCAGAGCATCTGTCTTCCACACGTGTGTGTGCACACCCATGTGTACCTGCTAGAGACTGCAGGAGCCATTGCTCAGGCAGATGGTGATGGAAGTGGGCTGTCAAGGTTTTCGTGCTCTGCTGTCTGTCTGGCTGCTAATGCTGTGACTGCTATGCAGAGGATCAAAAGCACTGTGTGACTGACCTTCAGCTGCACCACCTCCAGCAGGTGAAAAGCGAGTGCGGGTACTGCGAGAAGGAAAGGAAGAAACCTGTCTTGCACCTCATGCTCTTTCCACACCTCAGAACAAGCCGTTTCCTAATTTTACATTTTGCTTCTAACCTTACGTCTCCAATCTGAAATAATTTTACAAGCGTAAACAGTAGCAAGAGAGAACAGCAAATTGCTTTTCACAAGTTTCAATATTTAATCTGTGCTATTCTCTAAAAGACAAGTCATTTATTAGCTGCCAAAACTCCCATGGTTGGCAATGGCAGTCAATCACATATTTAAATATGACCCATCAGCTCTCTTCTTGTGATACAGTTTATGAACTGAAGGATTCAATTATTCAATTTCTGCTACTAAGGTAAAGTCCTTCTCCTAAGGTCACAAAAAACCCAAAAGAGGTATGAAGGTTTGTCCCTTTCCTTTAGAAGCAAATTCTTCCCTTTTTCACCCAAAATGCAGAATATGAGCGCCGTGGGGAAAAAAGAAACCTCCAAAATTTTTCACAGAACTGGATATGATTTTAAAATGAAAAACAATACAGTACTATTATCTTCATATCATTCACTTGATATGACTGTTCTTATTTTTCCACATAAAACCAAAGACCAAATTTTCAATGAAAATCATGCACCAGGCATTGTCTAAGACCTTGCCAAAATGCAACAAATTTCTTAATAAAACTCCCAAAGGTGCAGATGGCATAAAATACATAATCTAATACATCCTTCTAGTTTATCACAATTTAAATACGATTATTAACAAAGGGTGAAAACACATTAGTAGGAAAGGAGATCACAAATTTAGGGTAATAAAGAAGAAAGCCTGTGAAAATGTTCCCAGCAAACAGAACGAGACAGCATTGAAATGTATTTGAGAATGGGAGAAACAAATTCTACTCCCTTTCGCTACCCATCTCAGATTTGCAGCTAAATCATACAGAAACAAAAAGATACCTGTTTCTCAATTCCCTATGTACAATATACAGCAGTTATCTTAAACCCTTCCTAAATGCTGGCTCTTTACTCTCCCTCTTCATCGAAAAAGTAAAATTCAAGCTAATATGATGTTTTAGTTTCCAATGGCTTTCCTGTGCTCTTTGCAAATTTCTCTAGTAACACTCAAGGTTCACTGTGCTCTGGGAAGGAATGTGAAATGCTGCATAATGAAGAGGATATCTATCAGGGAAGATGCACAGAGAGAAACAGTCACCACCTGACAAGGCAGAGCACACATAACAAATGCCCCAATCAAATGTGTGCACGTACCTAATCTGTTGGAGGGGTTCCTTTTGAAGAGGGCTCGCAGCAGGCTCTGGGCTTCTATGCTCAAGAACTGCGGCATTCCCAGCTTGGCTCTGAAAGAACACAGCACTTGAAAAGGAAATAGATTTTCCAAAAATTTTCTCCAGCCCACTGTGGTTTAAAAAGTAGAATTGTAGTGGTCAGGACGGGCAGACACATGAACCAAAGGCTACCTAAGCATAATGCAATACAGAGTGAGGACCCGATCTTGTTCTGGTAGTTTTACCAGAAGTTTTACCACTGGTTTCACTAGAGGTACAGCACATCTAATTAATCTCATAACACTTTTTGCAACCAAAATAGGTAATTCCCCTACAGACATTTTTTCCCTTTTTTAGCTTGCTGGAATAAATTTGGGAATTGAGAGGAATTTAAACAAACAAAACTTCACGCAAATAATTATACTAAGCCACATACTGATTAAAGGGAATAGAAGTTTTCTCTCAGTGATTCACTGCTACAGAGAAAAAAATGTAATATTGAGCAAAGATAAGCTTCAAATACTTAGTCTGCACTTAACATTAAACGAACAGTAAATTTGCAGAGCAAAAGATTTGAAACTTGGACACATAAGGTGTCCTACAGAAATTTGACTGTTCTCACTTTTGCGTGGATAATGACATTCCTTATTACAGAAAGTAAGATACATTTCTTTTGTAAGGCCCCCTCAATAATTCATTTCCTACTAGTTATTCTGAAGGCAATTTTAGAGCCACATGCAGGCATCAGCTCTGCGTGCCTTACCAAATTCATGCCCTACGCAGCTTTGAAAAACACATTATGCACATTATTATGCTCTACCTTTCATAGACTTAGGACCTATAGGCTGCCTGGAGGGTACAGTTAATTCACAGTTAGAGGAACGAAAGCAGTTTTGGTACTCACTTGAGAATAAGTGCCATTGTCTCCTTTCTGTCTTTTCCCTGGAAGGGTAAAGATCCTGTCAGCATCTCAAACTGTGGAGTAACAAAAAAATGGTAAATCAAATGAGCATTGAGACAGTCTTGCATAGCTGATAGACACCACATCCACATTCTATTTCAGCACAACTGAAAACTTGAGGAAAAGAAATTGTTCAACAAGCTGTACTTCAGAAAAAAATGACACAGCAAGTCTGGATTATGCAGAACATGAAGGACCAACATGACCATTTCATTGTCCTGGTTTCAGCTGGGATAGAGCTAGTTTTTTTCTTCTTAGTAGCTTGCTTCTTAATAACTAGAATAGTGCTGTGTTTTGGATTCAGTATGGGATTTGGTATGAGGAGAATGCTGATAATATACTGATGGTCTTAATTGTTGCTAAGGAATCAAAGACTTTTCAACTTCCCATGTCTTGCTAGGTGTACCAGAAGCTGGGAGGAAGCTCAGCCAGAGCAACAGACCCAAACTGGCCCATGGAATGTTCCAGACCATACATCATCATGCTCAGTATATAGAAGAGGGTTAGCCAGGAAGCTGGCTCTGTCTTCCGCAGTCTCTCTTCTGGGATTGCAGTTTTGGGATTCTCTTCTCTGTGATCACTAGCTGGGAACGGGCTGGACCTCAGTCAGTTGGTGGTGAGTAACTGCATTGTGCATCCCTCGTTTCTACATTCTATTATTATTACTATTATCATTACTATTTTAATTTTATTTTATTTCAATTGTTATCTCAACCTACGAGTCTCCTTACCTCTACCCCTCCAATTCTGTCCCCCCCACTCCCTGGGGCAATGGGGAGAGGATGAGCAAGTGGCTGTGTGGTGTCTGGCTGTTGGCTGGGTTCAAACCACGACATCATTCAAGAGTCATGTTACAAGCTGTTTACATTGATATTTGGGGTCGAGTTTTGATATGTTTGGGAGAAATGTGATATATGCTGTTTTGTCCAGCATCCATTTTATGGCCAATGTTGGAGACTAGATATTTGGCTGTGGGGACTCTTAGTCTGAATAGGCATGGCTGTTCTTACATGTTTGGCATGGACTGTGGTGCAAGGAAAATGGGTTCAATATGCCACTCTCCACCTTTTTAGCTTGAGTCAAACCACGTTGTATATTTGCACCACTTAGAGACGCCACTGCTCTACTTTGCAGAGGAAAATGCACAAACCCTATATTCTCAAGGCATCTGAGTGTGCTTTTTTCTCTCCTGCTTTGGTTCCCCTGGCTGTATTCAGTGACAAATTTTGCAAGTGTCACATTTAACTGAACCCAAATCTCAAAGAAAAACTCAGCAATCATCATCAATTATTTGCCTAACTCACACGTGAACACATCAATCAGTTATGAGTCCTTTGAAAGAGATTAGTGTTTTCAGTAAATTTGACAGGAATTTCACACTTGTAGCAAAAAAGAGAAGATCCCAGCCAAAGCTTGCCTAATATGGATTCAATACCACATATTTCACGCAGCTCTTGCCACAGTGTTTCATGAAGGTATGAGTGGCAGCTGGTTCCCTTGACTAAAGGATGATGAAGGTTATGCATCACCAAACACAAAGACACCAAGTACACTATTCAGCCTGGGGACAAAGGTGGACAATGTTCATTGAGGGTAAGGAGAACTGTTGCTTGCTTATGTCTGTGGCTCAGGCTTTGGATCTCTTCTACCATTATAAGTACCTACTAATTAATATTCTTTGTTATAATTATCTGTTAAGGCAGGATAGGCTCTGCAACCCTCATGTGGTTTTGGTACTTTATCACATAAGTAGCTTCACTGTTCTCAGAAAGCACATTTGCGCAAGAAATGATCCTTTCATTACCAAAACCTGTGTCAGCCTTCCCCACAGCCTGACTCTTCCCTTTTTCCAGATTAAATAGAGCCATACCATAAGAATAATGTAAGAAAACACAAGAAAACTATAAATGTGAAACTGTTATGCTAGTTTAGGGAGAAGGGCAGAGGAGAGGTGTAGAAGCCAGATAAGTAAGTGACTATAAGTAACTGAAGGATTAATCTGCATTAGTAATAAATTACCTCCAGACAATAAAACACACAGTAGAAACAAGGAAAAAACGCTTTTTAAAAGTGTGTATGGCTGAGAAATATAAACAAGATTTGGAATACTCAAAGGTGTTAACTCCTGCTCGGTCTAGAAGAGTCAAGAGAAGTGCTGCCTGTTAGAGCTGGAGGAAAGCAGATTGTCTTCCACAGAGAAACAAGATGGGTGAGAAATTTTAAAACTGCCTAAATAACACTGGATGTGAAGCACCATTTTCAAAGCAATTCTGACCTATTAGAGCCTTACTCATGATAAAAGTTTTCAGATACACCAGGGATGAGGGGCAGAGAACATTGCTTCCAAGGGCAATAGCAGAAATGCTATGTATTGTACCAAACCCTCCTCACGATTTCTAAAGTGTTTACATTCAGGGTCAGCACCTAATGTTCACTTACACTTGCTCATGTTACTTTGATGTTTACAATGACTGCTACAGCTCATTTACTTTGGGAGGGAGGAAGGAAGGAAGGAAGGGAGGA